AAGACCAGAGCCAAAACTCGTTCGTTTATAGCTAGAATAAAATTTTGCGGAATTTTTCGAATATAATTAGGAGTCACATATGACAGTAAGGATGTATGAGAAAATAAGAAATTTCTAAAAATTCATATCAAAAAGGAGCATAGGGTAAGTGTGCCTAAGTTCGGCATGTCCCAGTAGTCGGCACTTTTTATTTTTAAGCCCAAATAAATGAAACTATTATAACTAAATGTATTTTGTTTACTTCAAATATATTGTCAGCTATCTTTGTGCACAATTTCGCTAAGAAAAGATGAATTATCCTAATAAAAATTAAATTTTTGTCTGTGAATCAATTTATTATTATTATTAATTATTCTTACAAAAAAATTGGTATTCCGACTGTTGGAAAATACCATATCGACAATTGGCCAGTGGTGCCGACTACTGGCAAAAAAGCTTTGTTTTAATAAAACTACAAATTTATGAAATTTAATAAAAAGTTATTAAAACTTTATTTATTATTGCAAAAACTATACAAAATTTCGAATCTGAATAAATTAACTTTGTAATAATTGAAATGTTCCACTCAGAAAGGCGATTAAAAACGCGAAAATCCTAAAAGTGCCGACTTACCCTACTAAAGGAAAATTGAATTAAGTATCAAAAAAATACGCTTTCAAAAAAAAAAAACAAAAAAAAAAACAAGTAAAATAGCTGTAACTTTGAATGCCCTTTACCATTTGGTACAAATTTAGCAATTTTCAAAAAATAAAATCCGTTAAAAAATATTTTAAAATTTTAAAAATACTTAATGTAGTTGTCATATTAGCGTCTATACGATGACGTAGACCTGCATAGGTAACTCTTGTCACAAGCTATTACAATATTCAAATGCGAAACTGCAAAAAAATCTGTTTATAATGTAGCTAAAATCATCAAAATACCGAATATCGGTAGGTACCGTTATGTGGGGGCTATGCGAAGACGCAAACCTGCACAGACAAGACTGTCATAGGCTGTAGTATCCACTACGAACTTCAAATACCGAAATTGAAACAATTCGGGTGAAAAATGTCGCTAAAATCATTAAAATACCGAATATCGGGAGGTACCGTTATATGAGGGCTGTACGAAGACGTGGACCTGCACAAACAATTTTCTGTCAAAGGCTGTAGTATTCATTGCGAACTTCAAATACTAAATTTGAAATAGTTGCGGTAAATATTGTCGCTAAATAATCAAAATACCGAATATCGGAGGTATATGGGGGCTATACGAAGACGTGAACCTGCACAGACGATTTTCTTTCTTAGGCTGTAGTATCCATTACGAAATTCAAGCACCAAATTTTAAACAATTTCGGTGAATAATATCGCTAAAATCATCAAAATACCGAATATCGGGAGGTACCGTTGTATAAGGGCTATACCAAAACGTGGACCTACAATGCCCATTTTCAACACCAAAAGTCCTGCAAACATAGCATACATTTGAGTAAAGTTTTATCAATCTACTTCAATTCGTTCGGAAGCTAGAGTGATTTCCACAGACGGACAGACGGAATATATATACTTTGTGGGGTGTAAAATGTGTATTTCAAGGTGTTACAAACAGAATGACAAACTTAATATACCCTCCATACTATGGTAGATTAAATTCCCAAGTATAAGGAAAAATGCATGCTATTCGTGAAATCGGAGGAAGATAAAAATGGGAGCTATATCCAAATCTGAACCGATCACGACAACATTTGGCAAAAACATTGTTAGGCTGTATTTGCATATCATTACACTGAATATAATACTTATGGAGTAAATATTACGGCTTTTGGGGGAAATGCATTTCGAACCGTTTGAAACATATATATGTGGCAGCTTTAGCAACATCTGAACCGATTGTCACAAAAAATTTACATATTTGTTTCAAGACTCTATTCGGAGTAATGTGCTAAAATTGATTTTATTTTGGGATTTATTATGCATTTGATGCACAATAAACTTGAAATCGGTCGGAGATATATAAGGGACCTGCCTATGTTTAAATCTGGACTGATTATCACAAATTTCAATAGAATTTGTCCTTGGCCCAGGAAAATGAACTGTGTAAAATTTCATCTCAACCGAACAATGAATGGGACCTGTTCTTGGCCTTTAAAATTACATGGACGGACATCCATAAAACGACTCTGAATGTGATTCTATGGAAATCGTCAAAAGGAACTAAGGGTCGATGTGGACCATCAACATGGGGAGGCAAAAGTCCTTTCCTTACGTCAGCATTATCATGTGCATCCGTTCAGTACCTGCTTGGGTGTTATCGTGGGAGTCATCCCAACCACCATTTGGTAGATACAACTTCCCCACCCAGGCGTGGCAGGAAGGGAGGGAGAGGGAGGTCCTCTAGATTAAGAAGCCTATCAGGCAGGTCTAAGTGGCATTCATACTGATACAGCCGCAGATGTCATCAGCACCCCCATCAATCGCAGCTAAAGAACGTCAGCTGCCTAGACAAACCAGGGTATTTTTGGCGCAATTACGTTCAGGATGGAGCAGTCGTCTCAATTCATATTGGGCACGAATTAACGAATATGTGCGTGACGTCTGTCCGGCGAGTGATACAGGCCCGCACAATACGCTGCACCTCTTGAATTGTACCGCCAAACCTACCCAACTCACTCCGGAAGATCTCAGGTTACAGCCCATTAAGAAAACTCCAAACAACTGCATCTACTACTGCTACAAAAAAAAAAAAAAAAAAAAAGCAACAACAATTTATGAGAGACATATGTCCAAACAGGTGCAGAATTACATATGGACCCTTTTTGCCCGAGCTGGCCCAAGGTGGTCAGGGTATATTGTGTTTGTGCATTTGTTTGTAACATGCAACAGGAAACGAGATAGACCCCATAGTTTATTTTGATGATCTGCATAAAATCACATTCTGAGTCGATTTATGCATGTCCGTCCGTCCGTCCGTCCGTCCGTCCATCCGTCTGCCCATGTATTTTTGTGAACAAAGTACAGTTCGCATTTATTACCCGATCCAGATGAAATTTTGCACAAATCAATTGTTTGGCCCAAGTACGAACTCTATTGAAATTGGAGACAATCGGTAAAAATTAAGATATAGCCCCCATATATATCTTCGTCCGATTTGCCTTTTATTGTGCACCAAACGTGCAATATCAGCCCGAATAGTATGGAATTTTGCACATACAACTAAATTAGTCCTGAAAATAAGTATACAAAATTTGATCGAAATCGGTTCAGATATAGCTATAGCTCCCATATATATTGTTCATCCAATGTGTTATATTTGTTACCCACAGCCGTAATATGCACCCCGTAACAACGATATTCAGGGAAATATATGAAATACAGCTCAGAAATATCTTTGTAGGGTATCATAAAGTCGGTCCCACCCGACTTTAATGCTTTCTTTACTGGTTTTAAATTTAATTTTTAGAAAACGCTGGTCAGGAGTACATTGTAGGGACTAACGTAAATACGTCCTGCGTTCTCTTTACAAAAATACAGGGCCAGACATTCGGATGCATGAATCGAAAGTGATTCTATGAAGATATTCAAAATTAAATAGGGTCTATCTCGTTTCCTTCTCCATGTTACAAGCAAGTGCACAAATACCTAATACCCTAACCCGTGTGGTGTAGCGTATAAAATGTCAGGGATATGACTAAAAAACTAGTTTGTGAGAAGGGCAAATATATTAACTTAAAATAAGACAAAAGGCAGTATGTTCGCCCAGGCCGAACGTCTAATACCTCCACCGTTTGGAAGAGTTTTTCAAAAGTTGAAAAATACTGCTATAATCATAAAAATCCGAGTACAGTGAGGAACCGTTTATGGGGGTTGTAGGTAGACCTGGACCCGCATATGAACTCACTTATTACGAACTTACGAAATTTGAAACAATTCTGGTGGCTAATGTCGCTAAAATCATAAAAATACCGAATATAGGAAGGTATCGTTATATGGGGGCCATACAAAGACGTGGACCTGCATGAGTACTTTACTGTCATAGGTACACATTAGGAACCTCAAAATCCAAATTTGAAACATTTCTGCAGAAAAATGTGACACAAATTATCAACATGCCGAATATTTGGGGGTCCTAGACGTGGACCTATAGCCCATTTTCAAAAGCAAAAGTCCGATTAAAATACTTCTAGGTGAATTATTTTTTATTTACTCCTTCTAAACATTGGTCATTTGATACAGCTTCATCTTCAAACATTAATATGAGAGAGCAAACTCCACTGCATACTCTCTTGAAATAAAGAACTCCGTTGTAAGAAAAAGTAAACAGACTGAACTATTTTTAGATACCCATTCTCATTAGCTAACCAGATTAAAACAAGGCCTTAACGCGTTTATACTTAATCGATATGTCCCTCATATGCAAATTTCGGTCAGACTAGACGTTAATTAATTTTTAATTGCTTTATCTAATTCGTCATTCACAAAAAAAAAAAAAAAAACGAAGTCCCCCTATTTTGTGGAATTTTGTCCCAGACACTTTTTTTACCTCCATATCATATTAACCTGACATTTTCTGTCAAATTCAACATCTATCAAACTTGGCGAGAACTAAATTTTGTTCGCCAGCCTCAGACATGTAAACAAGTTTCGAGCCGGCAAAACGCAAATCACCAGTCTGTATTTGATTCATAGTCACACATTGAAAACAAATTTCGAATTGAAGCTCCGCTTATCAGACACGCGAGTTTAATGATGAAACACGGAAAAGTGTTGTTGTTGTTGTTGCATTCAATTTCAATTTTTTCAATTCAAATACCGAATGTGGAATATTATAATAGCTAGTAATTTTTTTTGTTATTATTATTGTTGTTGTTGTAATTTATTAGCGTAGAGGTGACATTTTAACACTTTTAATCGATCCCACAGTTGAATAATGACGATCGATCGAACAAGTGAGTCTGACTGACAGTCAGGTGAACTGCAATACACAATTCTCTGGATTTTACTCAATTTATGTGTTACCTTGTTGTTGTTGATGTCGGTGTTGTTGTTGTTGTTTGAGACCAACTTAGAACTGTAGCGATAGCGGTTCTTATTTTTTGTTATTGCCACTGATAGCTATGGTAATTTGTCAGTTTCGAGCACCGCTCATGCATACATGTATGAGGGGTATTTTTCCTCAACCAACTTCGTCGTCGAATGGGCGGTTTGTACGTATGTTTGTAATTGGATCAGCACATGTTTGAATTCATTCCATGAATTTTAAATGAGCCGGCATTTAATTGCAGTGGCTTTTTATTATCTTATTTTTCTTTTTTATAATCGAATTTTTTGTATGATTTTTTAACCGTTATTTTTTTTAAACACTTAATTAATTTCCAAAAAATATGTATTTAAATTTTTTCCTATTTTGAATTATTTTTCCTTCAAGTTTTCTTTATTTGGGTTCTAAATTCTTTTCATCTAGGGTTTTTTCTACGCGCACTGTTTTTCGTCGTCGTTCCGTTTTCGCCAAAGGTTCACATCCGACTATCCTCACTCAATGTTGTAAGGTCTTACGATTTAGTTTGGGTTTTCTGTTGCTGTTGCTTTTTTTGTTTTGTTTTTTATTCGCATTTGTTTATATTTTGTTTTTGTTTCATTTATTTTGTGTTTTCCTTGTCCACTGGCTCACTCACTGATCCTCTCCAACTGTTCTACGACTGTCAAGATTCTGAGATGCTCACTTGTTGCGATTTTATTTACCTATTGATTCGATATCGTTTATTCTGCGGCCGTTACGTTGGCGTCGATGTTAACGTCTGCGGAAGCGTAAACCAGCAACCAACTGCGATGATGATCATCATCATCGACCACAAATAATGTTGTTGTTTGAACAGTGGGTGAGATTGCGTTGCAATGGAAATTAATTGAAATAATGGATAAATGTGGCAAAAATAGCCGAAAGATGGCTCGTGAGCTGAACATATCGCAATATTCCATTCGGCAAATATTGATATACGAACTCGGGGTAAAGCCATTGAAATTTCAAAAAGTGCAAGAACTTACACCGCAACAGAATGTACATTGACTCAAAAGAGCTAAAGAGTTACTTCGCTTGGCCGAAAGTGGCGATCTGCCGTATTTGGTTTTCTCCGATGGGAAAACAAAAAAAAAAAAAAAAATTATTCTTAAATTTGATGCCATTTCCGATATATTTTGCTTCCAATTAATAAAATTTAAAAAAAAAAAAATTAAATTTTGGTGGTATCGGATAAAGAAATATACAGGAGCTATATCCAAATCTGAACCGATCCTGATACAATTTTAGGCACTTATTTCTGGGCAGTATCTAATATCTAAAATCAAATATAATTCTTGGAGAGTGCATATTATAAATATGAGGGACTAGAACACCAATTCGGATCAAACATATATATGGGATCTATAGCTATATCTAAACCGATTTTCTCCGAATTCCAAAATTCAGATATTGCCCATTCGGTGCACAATTAAACCCAAATCGGTGGAAGATATATATGGGACCTATATCCAAATCTGAGTCGATGCTGATCAAATTTGGCAGAGATATTTCTGGGCTGTATCTGATAACTGGTACCAGATATCATGAAACATATATATGGGAGTTATAGCTATATCTGAACCAACTTTCATCAAATTTGATGTACTTGACCGACAGAATTCGGTCGGATATGCCAAAATGCTGGTCATTTGGACTGATATTGGTCATTTGGTGCACAATAAACCTGAAATCGTATTAAGGATATATATGGGAGCTACATCCAAATCTGAAGCGATCTTGATAAAATTTGGCAAAGGTATTTTCGAGGTCTATAAGATATCTTGTATCAAATATCATTGTTCTCGAATGCATATTACGAATTTGAAGGACATAAACACCAATCAGATGAAACACACAGGGTGAGATGAAAAAAGTGCAACCAACTTCAGACTACTGTCATTTCTAAGCCACTCGTCCTACAGCTGTTAAAATAATTCCGTTGATAGCTCATCAAATTGTTTACAAGCGTACAATAGCAGAAAAAAAGTTATTCGTGATGGAATTCAAGCGTGATAGTGTGATTTCTTCATATTTGGCTTGGAAACCACAAGTGGCTATCGCTAGAGCACTCCAGCATTTAAAATTGTGAATAAATCTTTTGTGTCTCGTACCATCGCTCGTTACCGTGATACTGATAGCGTAGCCCGACGTCAAGGAAGTAGACTGAAGAAAACAGCAACATCAGCAGAAAAGGTTCGAAAAGTAAAGATCGAAACCCGCATCGCAATGGCCCAAAAATGTCTCGTGAGCTGAACATGTCGCAATATTTTATTCGGCAAATATTGAAAAATGAGCTCGGGGTAAAGCCATTGTAGTTCCAAAAAGTGTCAGGACTTACACCGTAACAGAAAAAAAATAGACACAAAAGAGCTAAAGAGTTGCTTCGCTTTGGACATTCCAACAGGACTCAGCACCATCGCACTCAGCACGTGCCACCAAGAATGGTTACAAAATAAGGTTCCTTGCTTCATTTCCAGCCCACAATAGCCACCAAAATCTCCGGATACCAATCCGTTGGACTATTGTGTCTGGAGTATTTTGGAAAGCAAGTTTGGCTCTAAAAAATACCAAAGTGTCGATCACTTCAAGCAAGCGCTTCGCCGGAAATGGGCCAAAATACCGCAGAGCAACATTCGGGCAGTGTGTGACGGTTTCATTGGCCGTTTGAAGGTCATAATTCGTGCCAAAGGTGACAAATTCGAACAAATCTAAACTTATTCTAAAATTTGATGCTATTTTCAACTTTTTTGCTCTCATTCAATAAAATTTAAACAAGTAAAAAAGATGTTAGTTCAGCCGGGGCGAACTTTGAATACCCTCCACCAATTGGTACAAATTTTGAAATTTTCAAAAATAAAAACAAAAAAATCCGTTAAAAATTCTGTTAAAATCCTAAAAATACACAATGTAGCCGTATATAAGGATCTATACGAAGACGTGGACCTACATAGTCAATTTTCTGTCTTAAGCCGTAGTATCTGTTACGAACTTCAAATACCAAATTTGAAACAATTCCGGCAAATAATGTCGGTAAAATCAACAAAATTCCGAACATCGGGAGGTACCGTTATATGGAAGCTATACGAAGACGTGGACCTGCCCAGACAATTTTCTGTCATAGGCTGTAGTATTCATTTCGAAATTCAAATACCAAATTTGAAATAGTTCCGGTAAGTAATATCGCTTAAATCATCAAAATACCGAATATCGGGAGGTACAGTTATATGGGGGCTATACGAAGACGTGGACCTACATGGCTCATTTTCAATTCCAAAAGTCCTACAGACATAATATACATTTGAGTAAAATTTTATTAATCTACTTCAATTCGTTCGGAAGCTAGAGTGATTTCCACAGACGGACAGACGGGTAGACGGACGGACATCGCTAAATCGACATAGAATTTTATGCTTAGCAAGAATATAAATACTTTGTGGGGTCTAAAATGTGTATTTCGAGGTGTTACAAACGAAATGACAAACTTAATATACCCTCCATTCTATGGTGGAGGGTATGAAAATGTAAAAATTATGGCGTTTGACTTAGCTGGAGGTTTTTTTTTATCTCACCCTGTATTGTCCATTTCATATCGGACCTAAATAAATATGATAAAAATATTGCGACGTACATGGTTTGGACTATATTGGTTACTTTCTTGAGAGATATGTGATATGATATGTTAATTTTAAGAAAATGTGAAAATGTGCGTGAGGTACCACATATACTAGACCGAGGTAGTCCATTTTCATAATTCATTTAATGCAGAAAAATATTGGTATGGGCAGAATTACAAGAAATCGCAAATAACATATTCATATCAGGTTTCTGGTTGAGAGACCCTTTGTGGGGGAGGTACGTGATGTAGTGGACCAATATTGTCCATTTTCACACCTGGCCTAGCTCTGATGCAAATATTAGGATTTGTACAGTTATAGCAAAACCGGATTATCCTTTTTTTCTTTTTTTGAAATTTCGAACTTTTGTGGAGGAGTGGACCGATATTGCCCATCTGCGAACTCGATCTAAATTTGATAATAACATTGCAATGTACCAAGTTTGGACCAAATCGGATACTCCCTGCGAGAGTTATTGTGCGCATCAGCCAGACAGAAATACGGCATCGCTAGTTCGATGTCCAAATGTCCAGTAGCGGCTTTGGTCCAAAGATACCTAGGGCCTACACCGTTATCAAATGATATATACCCTGTCTAGCCATATGGCTGAGCGTGTAAAAAATCACATTTTTAAAATATCCGCCAATGTTCAGTAGTGACTACAAATCGCATATACCAAACTTCTGTCGCTAAGTTTTTTATCTCCCTCTGCTTATGTGAAGCTTAAACAAAACATGTTTCCTGACGCCAGCGGTGGCTTCAATGTAAAAAAATGCCGGTCGAACGTGTGAGAGTGCGATTGGAATATACGTGTTTTTATTTTCAATTTTATTTTATGCAATCCTTCTTCTGTCGGCTTTACAAAAAAAAAAAAAAAAAAAATAAATAAATAAACGGAGCTGCCAGATTTGAGTAATAATGAGTAAATTTTGAGTAAATATTTAATTTTCCAAAAAAACAAGAAAAAATTAATTTGTTATAGAACCAGGGTAACTTATTTATCGGAACAAATATTCCACCGAGAAACTATTTCCATATTATGATCCTAAGCGGATTATTAATATTTTACTACTAATTTCTCAGTTTTCAAAAAAAAAAAAAAAAAAAAAAAACAGTAAGTTCGGCCGGGCCGAACTTTGAATCCCTCCACTAGTTGAAACGAATTTGGAAATTTTGAAAACAATAAAATCCTTAAAAAATTCTGTTGAAATTTTAAAAATACCGAACATAGCCGTTATATTGGGGTCTATAAGACATGGACCTACATAGGTATTGTTTGTCATAAGCCATTACCATATTCAAATTCGAAACTTTAAATAAACTGCGAATAATGTAGCTCAAATCAACAAAATACCGTATAGAGTAAGGTGCCGTTATATCGTAGCTGTGCGAAGACCTGGACCAGCATAGACAATTTTCTGTCACAGGCTATAGCATCCATTACGAACTTCAAATACGACATCTCAAACAATTTCGGTGGGTATTGTACTTAAACTCGTCAAAATACGGAATATTGGGAGATACTGATATTTGGGCCTATACGAAGATCTGGACCTGCATAGACAATTTTCTGTCACAGACTGTAGTTCCCATTACGAACTCTAAATACGTAATTTGAAACAATTCCGGTGAATAATGACGCTAAAATCATCAAA